ATTGAGCCTTGTTGGTCTGCATCTATGATCTGAGCCTAATCTGGGTTAGGCCAATCATTTGCCCCCCATGCCCAGAGTCGAGTGGGATTTGGAGAAGAGAGCATCAGTAAGAATATATTTTTATTTTTACTTTTTTTCCCTTCATTCTGGGTATTGACATGGTGACTTTCAATCATTCTAATTCTCTATGCCTCATTTTGCCCCAAACTCTTTCACTTTATAAATAGTTGTTGTTATTGTTTTAATATTTGCCTGAGAAGCTTGTCTTTGTCCTCTATTAGTGACAAATACCTAAGGCTTTAAATTGTGCCCCCACATACTCATTTAAGTACGAAAGGAGAAATATGAGATCTCAAGTTGCAACAAGAGAGAAGTGTGTGGCGCAGGAGGTGAGGTGTAGGCACCAGGAGGCATGCAGGTGCCAGGAGTTAAGGCACTGGAAAAAGGAGGTGCACAGGCATTGGGAGGTAAGGTGTAGGGCACGGGTGACGAGGAACCGACACTGGGGATGGGCAGCGAGGCATTGGGTGCTGGCGTAGGTGGCGAGGTGCTGGGCATTGGCAGCGGGTTATAGATTTGATGATGGCAAAAACAATGTTGCCCAGCATCCATAGCAATGGAAACATCATGGCAAAATATTCATTGATGACAATGGTACCAAGGTTAGCACTATTTCTAGTACCATCAATACTTATATTGAGATTGTTAGGATCGTCTCCTTACTGTGTTGTGTTGTCAGGCTAAGATGGGCGAACCATTGACTAATGACTCTTCTAGGAAAAATTACTATCTATGAAGAGGTTCTAGAGGTAGGTTTGAGATTTTCAATGCCTACACTTGTGTCACTCATGCTGGGGAGACTAGCTCCAAATGGTTAGAGAGTGTTATTGGTGTTTCTTGTACTATGACCATTGATGCATGGCAAAGGCGCCTCTCCTTCTTATGAAGAGTTTCTTGTCACCTATATGTTATAGGAGAACCCCACTCCCAATCGAGGTTGGTATCACTTTGCTCTAAGGGCAGGAAAACTAATTACTAGGAGGAATATGGACTATTGAGGATGATCGTGTTCTGGTTCTTGTGAGATGGGGTGCACCCACGAAGATAGTACAAATCTTCCCTTTCTTATTTCCATTTAGTTAACATATCCCTTACATCTTCACCATGTATTTAGCTCCTTTTTAGGTTTGTCTTTTTGTTAGGGCCAACCAACATGAACAGGTATCGAGAACTCTAATGAGGGAGAGACAAACACAACGGGTTGTAAAAGAGCAATTGAGGGTGGGTCATGAGAGAACAGCACCTCTTGAGGCCAAGCTTTTGATGACTCACGAGAGTGCTACCAAGCTATAAGCTAAGACTAAGGCTACTTACGCAAGAGTAGAGGCAGAGTTGTTGGTAGGTCACGAGAGAGCGGCCAAGCTTTTGGCAACTCGCGAGAGTGTCGCTAAGATGGAGGCTAAGATTGAAGTTACTTTCATAAGAGTAGCAAAGTTACGAATAACTCATAGGAAGGCTACCAAAGTTGAGGTAGAGCTATGGGTAGCTTGTGAGAGTGCTACTAGAGCTAAGGTGGAGCTGCGGGTAGCTGATGATAGGGCTACAATAGCAGAGACTCACTCCTAGGAGATGGAGAGGAGGAGGGACGCTATAGAGAAGACTATTTATGTCCTATAGGATAGCGCTGCGGGAGCTTTTATCGATGGCTACAAGAAGTTCAAGGAGAAAGTTTCAACGGCTTTTTCAAGCATAGATTTCTTAGGATTTGTCTCCTATGAGGAGCCGGGTGCAAGTGGTGATGATGATGGCGAGGATTCTAATGAGAGTGGGTCAGGCAGCAACAAGGAGTGCGATGACAGCAAAGGTAATCAAAGTGCTAATGTTGCTTGATAGATTTTGCCTTTTGCCCATATGCTTTCCTCTTTCTTTCTTTTTTTTTTCACAAGGCTCTTTTCTCTTCTCCCCTCCACGTAAGGACTCACCTCGCTTGCCTTTGGCCAAGTCTTCAACGTCAATGTATTTCTGGGCTTTCAATAGTAATTCTAGCGCTTCAAAACTGAGAAGAAAAAATTTGATAAGCATAGGCCTCCTATGAAGGCAGTCATGGTGACTTTGTCATCTGGATCTTCAATCTGGAGAACCTCTTGGTTAAAATGAGTGAGGTAACTCCTTAGGCTTTCATCCTAGTCTTGCTTGATGTTGAGAAATTGGGTAGCAGGCTTCTGGTGTTGGCTTCCCCCTAGAAAGTGGGAGATGAAGTATTTTCTTAGTTCAGCAAAAGTGTTAACGGAAGCTAGTTTGAGTTTGGCAAACCACTGGCACACAGATCCCATGAGAGTGGTAGGAAAATCCTTGCTCATAATTTCGTCTAGTATGTTATGCAGCTACATGAGAGATTTATAGGTGTCAAGGTTGTCTAGTGGATCGTTTAAGCCATCAAAAACTTCCACATTTAGCATTTTGAACTTTGGGGCGAAGGGGTAGTTGGCCACATCAGCTACGAATGGCGTGTTAATTACGCTTCACAAGGTACTCGACTATTTTCAGCCCTCATGGCTTCATGACATAGAAGATGTCACCAACTTGTCCCAATGGTTGAGGACGTTTGGGTTGTTATACTGGCTTTCATGGTCCATATACAAGTTTTCTCCCACATCTTCTTGGAACAGAGGGTCGCCAACATGGGAGGATGGAGTGGGCGCATGAGGAGGGGGAGCCGGGAGCCCTGGCGGGCTGGGAGAGGCGTTGGTCCTCCTAAGTGCTAGGGTTTGCCTCCTAGAGGGTGTCAACAAACATCAATTAGAGGAGTTGTTGGTTTTGGTTTTGATTTATCGACAACTACATAGTTTCCGGTAATTGTGGTTCAACAACAGGGTTTGTGGTGTGGGTGGGACCTCATTGTGATGTGGTTGATCATCATTTTCCCTTTGTTGATTCATAGATCTAGTTGTAATAGCTATAAGAAGCAGGGATACAGTAAGATGAAAACTAAATCGTTCTCACAGACGGCGCTAAACTGATGATGCACAAAAGTGTTTATGCAAAATCAATCAAGCATGTGATGTGGTATGCTCAACACATTCAAACACAGAGATTAGGTGGTTCAGTCTAAATGATCTACTTTAGTAGGAATCACTATGGTGGCCAAATAATTTTATTACCCGAGGAGTGCATAGAGTATTTAGAGATGAGTCATGTTCTCCATGTGTAGCCAGTGCTTACAATTTGTAATATCCTGACCCATCCTTGAGTGTGTAGTAGTTATAACATAGAGTTTTATATTGTGAATCTTCTTAAACTTGAACTATTATGTTGAAAAGTCTCTTCAATATAAAATGTTTGTATAAATAAATAACAATCCTTAAAAGAGAGTTTTGAAGGATCTAGAAGAATTCAGAAAATTCTAGAACAATCAAGAAGTATCTGAAAAGTTCTAGAACAATTTAGAGAAGTCTAGAATATTCCAGAAAATTCTGGAAGGACATAGAAGGTTAAAGAAGACTTTAGAATATCATAGATGAGTCTAAATCTTTGTGGAATTTACCATGTGCAAAATAAGCTTCAAAATCTAGAAGGATCTAGGAAGGGGAGATGGTAGAATATTCTAGGGAATGTCCCCTAAAAATATCACATGTCAATACTCTCTAGAATAATCTTTGGATGCCTATAAATAGGGCATTTGAGGATTGGATTAAGCACACAAATGCACAAGTAGTTGTCCACTTTCTAGAAAGAATAGAGAAGGAAGCAAGAACAAGTCATCAAAGGAGAAAGGAAGTTGTAAAGGCATCGATAACATCTAAATCTACTTCAGAGAAACAAGCAACATACCATTTGGACTTTGAGGTGAGTGGGTTGGCATGCTACGTATTTTCAAAAATTCCCCGTATCCCTAAAAAATTTTTAAGAACAATACATCATGCTTGTTCATTACTACTTTAACAAAATGTTTTACTAAGTGTCTAAATACTTGTGGCATACGATTCTCTTTGCCTTGATGAATTCTTTTGTGAAATGTTGTGACTCAATCACTTGTTTATATGGTGAGACTTGGTGATGGTGAATGGGACCATGATTAAAAGTCCAGGGAAATTATTCCTCTGTGTGTGGGTGACTCTGGCCGCTAGGGAATAGACCTGGGAGAGGCTGAGGTGATCCTAGTGCTCAACAGTTGAAGGAACAGTGTCTGGTGCGTCCTGGTGACCTTCACCAAATCGTCTTAGGGAACAATTCTCGGGCACTAACCCGTGGTGACCCTAAGTATGGTGTTTGATCCAACCTTGAGATTTTCTGACATTTGGTATGGTTCCCATATATCACACAAATCCTTAACATTATGAGGAGATGATACAATTCATTATTATCACAATGTTTTTAGTTATTGGTTTTGTTATGATTATCTATCGTATGCCATACATAATTTCTTGTTATCAGTTATTTTATATTCTCTGTTTTCAAAATGAATATTACTATGTGTGCCTTACCATTTACTGGGCTTTAATAAGCTCATTCCGTTAGATTATGTTTTTTTTTTCTAGGTGAGAGACTGGAGTGTTGCTAGCAGACTCTGGAGACTTTTGTGGACTTGATTGTGTTGTGACCTCCATAGGATGTTTTTGTCCATCATCTTATGTAGATAAGTATATATGTATACATGTACTTTATCAGTAGATGCTCGGTATGTATGATTGGTAATTCTCTTTTATTCGGGTTATGTAGACATGTTACTTAATAATACAAAGATATTTTGTGTGTGTATTTTCTCCTAATGGTAATATTGATGATATGCTTACATCCTCCATGGATAAGCTCCATGGTTTATGGCCGATCATACCCCTCGAATCGGGGTGTGACAATTGTGGTATCAGATCCTAGGTTTGTACCAAACCATTTGCATTGCATTTTAGAGGAGGTCTGGGTCCCAAAGTCTTATTGGCCTAGGTGAGTGTACCAACTATTCTTTGTGCTTAGGATACTTATGTCTTTTCTTATTTTATGGAATGGCAAACTGGAGACGACGTAACGTAAAGTCCAAGTATATGACCCAAGGAGCTATTAATAATGAAGTTCCTGCAGCTACTCCACCCACTCCGGTGGCCCAAGCTGCTCGTACAATTCCGATGGCTCCCAGTGTTTTGAATGCTGCAACAGCCCCACCAGTTGCTCCTACCGTAGCTACACCAATGACCCCAACAACTCCAGATGCTGAAAAGGTTTATAAAGCCCTTCAAACCTTAATGGGGGCAATCATTGGACAACAGTTCCAGCCAGTTGGTGCTACTATCAATAGGACTATGAAGCTAGATAAAGGCACAAATTTTGACAAATTTCTAAAGGTTTCTCCCCCTACTTTCATGGGCACTACGGAGCCAGCTGAGGCGGAGGCATAGCTGCAGCGTATGGAGAAGATCTTTGAATGTGTGGATTGTATGGATGAGCAAAAGGTATCATTTGCCACTTATATGTTGGAAGGACCGGCTGAGAACTAATGGCGTATGGTGAAACGCCAGTTTGAAGGAAAAGAGCACGAACTAGGGTGGAAAACTTTTGTGCAACAATTCAATGACAAATACTACCTGACTACTATACGGAGGCAGAAACAAGTAGAATTTTTGTCACAAAAGCAAGGGGGCATGACAGTTGCATAGTATGAAGCAAAGTTTACTGAGCTATCTAAGTTTGCCCCACATCATGTTGCTGAGGAGGCAGATAAGGTATTGTTGTTCGAGAATGGATTACAAGATGAGATCCGTAAGAGGGTCTCTTTGTTCGAGGCAAAAACCCTATCAGAACTTGTGACTAAGGCCTTCATTGCTGAAAAGACTCTCGACACCACCTTAGGAGGAAAGGAGAAACTAAGCAAAAGGCCGAGAGACTTCCGTCAGACAGGTCACAACAAATGGAGTAACAACCCCAACAAGAAGACCATGACACCAACAAATGGAGAAGAGAAGCAACAGGCATTAAGGCCATGTTACAAGTGTGGACTGCCGTATTCCGTACTTTATCGTTGTGATGGCATTGCACGAGTGTGTTATTCTTATGGACAACCCGGGCACTTGTCTGCGAATTGCCTGACCAAAGGAGCTGGAGTACAACAAACACAACAACTAGCTCAAGTTCGTAGACAGCCTGCACGTGGGAGCGGACTTATTCAAAGGCAGCCTACAAGTCACTAGAAGCGGGCGCAAATTACTCGAGATGGGACTCAAGGACAAGGCCAAAGATCAATTACTCATGGACGAGTATAAGCTTTTACACGTGAGGATACTGAGGCCTCGCCCTCTGTGGTGCAAGGTACTATTTTCATATCATCTATACCTGCTCGAGTTCTTGTTGATTCTGGTTCTACTCATTCTTGTGCTACGCCTCAATATCTACTACAATTACCTAATATGATCGAGCCATTAGATGTATATATGGTTGTGTCCACTCCGATAGAGAAGACAATGGTTTTAGAAGATGTATGCAGGTCTTGTGCGGTAGAGTTAGATAGTCAGATCCTACCAGTGGATTTGATCTCATTAGAGATACAAGATTTTGATATCATCCTTGGAATGGACTGGTTCTCAAAACACTACGCAACCGTGGATTGTCATTAAAAGAGGGTGGTTTTCACTATACTAGGACAACCAGAGTTCGTTTTCCAAGGAACTCAAAAGGTTTCTCCAATCGGTTTTGTCTCAGCACTCCAAGCAACCCGATTGTTGAGAAAAGGGTGTAGGGGATATTTGGCCTATGTGGTCAGTTATGGGTAGACAGAACAGAAGTTAGAAGAGTTGCCCGTGGTAAAAGAGTTTGCGGATGTCTTCCCCGAGGACTTGCCTGGTCTCCCTCCTGATCGAGAGATAGAATTCACAATTGACCTCATACCTAGCATTATGGCCATCTCCAAGGCACTTTACAAGATGGCCCCTGTAGAGTTGAAGGAGATACAAGTACAACTACAAGAGTTATTGGGTAAGGACTTTATTAAGCCCAGCGTCTCCCCATGGGGTGCCCCAGTACTCTTTGTGAAGAAGAAGGATGGGTCAATGCGCTTATGCATTGATTATCGAGAGTTAAATAAAGTCACCATCAAGAATAGGTACCCATTGCCACGAATAGAGGATCTATTTGACCAGCTGCAAGGGGCTCAGGTGTTCTCAAAGGTAGACTTGCGGTCGGGGTACCACCAATTGAAGATTAGAGAGGAGGATATCCCAAAGACAGCCTTTAGGACTCGTTATGGGCACTATGAATTTCCCGTAATGCCCTTTGGCCTCACCAATGCCCCGACAGTATTTATGGACCTAATGAACAAGGTTTTCAAACCCTATCTAGATCGCTTCATAGTGGTGTTCATCGATGATATCCTCATCTACTCCAAGAGTATGGAGGAACATGAGGAGCATTTGAGGATAGTTCTCCACACTCTCCGGGAGAAGAAGTTGTATGCAAAGTTCAAAAAGTGTGAGTTCTGGCTAGGCAGTGTATCTTTCCTAGGGCATGTGATTAGCAAAGATGGAGTTTTAGTAGACCATCAGAAAGTGGAGGCAATAGTTAATTGGCCACGCTCGACTTCTGTGACGGAGGTGCACAGCTTTTTGGGACTTACTGGGTACTATAAAAGGTTCGTGGAGGGATTTTCTCACATCGCGTTACCACTCACTAATCTGGCGTGAAAAGGAGTCAAGTATGAGTGGTCGGACGATTATGAGAACAATTTTCAAGAGCTCAAGCAAAGATTAACTACAACTCCTATCCTTGCACTACCAACTAAGGGTGGTAATTATGTTATCTATAGTGATGCTTCTCACCAAGGATTGGGATGTGTTCTTATGCAGCATGGAAGGGTGATAGAATATGCATCCCATCAATTAAAGTCACACGAGAAGAACTATCCCACCCACGACTTGGAGTTGGCGGTAGTCATTTTCGCGTTGAAGATTTGGAGACATTATACGGGGAGTCTTGTGAGATCTATACAGACCATAAGAGCTTAAAATATATCTTCACGCAAAAGGAACTTAACCTATGACAAAGGCGATGGTTGGAGCTACTCAAGGACTATGATGTCAATATCTTGTACCATCTAGGGAAAAGGAATGTAGTGGCAGATGCATTAAGCAGAAAATATTTTGAAGGTAGTTTGACAACCTTAACTGCTCAACCACAATCAGTGGATGATATCCGACGTTTGGGGATTGAGATAGTACATCATGGGAAAGGTGTACTTTGTAGTCAATTAACTGTCAAACCAACACTACTAGACAAAGTCAAAGAAGGGCAGTAAGTCGATCCACATTATGTGAAGATTCGAGAAGAATTGCAAAAAGGAAAGAGTTCGAATTTCGCTATAGATGAGGATGGAGCACTCAAGTACAAAGGGCGACTCTGTATACCTGCCAATGATGAATTGAAGAACGAAATCTTAGCTGAGACACATAGCTCTGGATATAGCATCCATCCAGGCAGTACAAAGATGTTCAAAGACGTACGAGATCATTTTTGGTGGAGCGGCATGAAGAAGGACATTGCAGAGTATGTAGCACAATGTCTCACCTGTCAGCAAATAAAGGTGGAGCATCAAAGGCCTGCAGGAAAGATTCAGCCTTTACCCTTGCCAGAATGGAAATGGGAGCACATCACTAAGGATTTTGTATTGGGATTGCCTCGTTCACGTGGTGGTCATGATGCGGTCTGGGTGGTAGTAGATCGACTTACTAAGTCAGCACATTTTATTGCCATCAAGATGACTTATCCAGTTGATCGATTTGTGCAACTATATGTGAAAAAGATAGTCAGACTCCATGGTGCACCGGTGTCAATCATCTCGGATCGTGATCCTTACTTCGTCTCTAAGTTTTGGGGTGCACTCCAAGCCGCAATGGGCACGCGCCTAAATTTTAGTACGACTTACCACCCACAAACTGATGGACAGTCTGAGAGGACCATCCAAACATTGGAGGATATGCTGAGGGCTTGCACGCCAGAATGGAAAGGAAACTGGGATGACCAATTACCGTTAATAGAGTTCGCGTACAATAACAGCTACCATTCCAATCTTGGAGTTGCGCCATATGAAGCATTATATGGAAGGAAATGCAGGTCTCCCTTATGTTGGTACGAGGTTGGAGAGAGACAACTTTTAGGGCCTGATTTGGTTCAAGATGCAACTCAGAAGATCTCTACCATACGGGAGAAGCTCCTAACTGCACAGAGCTGCCAAAATAGCTACATCGACAACCGAAGAAGAGATTTGGAGTTCCAGATTGGAGATATGGTATTCTTGAAGGTGTTTCCATGGAAGGGAGTTATCCGATTTGGCAAAAAAGGGAAGTTGAGTCCTTGTTACATTGGACCCTTCAAGATCTTGGAAAGAGTTGGAGAGGTGGCCTACCGAGTAGCTTTACCACCTAAACTTGCGGGTGTCCATAACATCTTTCATATATCTATGTTAAGGAAATACGTGCGTAGCCCGTCACATGTGGTTAATTATACCTACAAAGAGTAGCCGGTGAAAATTGTAGATATGAAGGAGAAAGTGTTACGCAACAAGACAATCAAGTTGGTCAAGGTCTTGTGGCGTAATCATGCAATAGAGGAGGCTACCTGGGAACGGGAAGAGGAAATGTGCGACAAGTACCCATATTTGTTCGCTTGAGGTAAGAATCGTAATTTCGAGGACGAAATTATTTTAAGAGGGGAAAGATGTAATATCCTGACCCATCCTTGAGTGTGTAGTAGTTATAACATAGAGTTTTATATTGTGAATCTTCTTAAACTTGAACTATTATGTTGAAAATTCTCTTCAATATAAAATGTTTGTATAAATAAATAATAATCCTTAAAAGAGATTTTTGAAGGATCTAGAAAAATTCAAAAAATTCTAGAACAATCGAGAAGTATCCGGAAAGTTCTAGAACAATCTAGACAAGTCTAGAATATTTCAAAAAATTCCGGAAGGACCTAGAAGGTTAAAGAAGACTTTAGAATATCATAGATGAGTCTAGATATTTGTGGAATTACCATGTGCAAAATAAGCTTCAAAATCTAGAAGGATCTAGGAAGGGGAGATGGTAGAATATTATAGGGAATCTCCCCTAAAAATATCACATGTCAATACTCTCTAGAATAATCTTTGGATGCCTATAAATAGGGCATTTGAGGATTGGATTAAGCATACAAATGCACAAGTAGTTTTCCACTTTCTAGAAAGAATAGAGAAGGAAGGAAGAACAAGTCATCAAATGAGAAAGAAAGTTGTAAAGGCATCGATAACATCTAAATCTACTTCGGAGAAACAAGCAACATACCATTAGACTTGAGGTGAGTGGGTTGGCATGCTACGTATTTTCAAAAATATCCCGTATCCCTAAAACATTTTTACGAACAATACATCATGCTT